TAAACTTGGTTGTTTTATAAAATTACGTCATTTAAACTACTCCAAAGTTTAAAAAAGCAGAAAGTCTGACAAGAGCAGAAAAACATCAACGACTAAAGAGAGGACACAGTGTGACAGTATAGGGCGGCCCTGGCAGCCAACACTCCTCTGGGCCACGCAGGAATGTAACACACACACACACGCACGCACGCACGCACGCACACACACACACACACAGAGGAAGCATAGAATAAACAGCTGTGTGTGTGGATGGGTCCGGGCTCGGGACTTAAAGGTACATGCAGTGGGAGGGAGCAGTGACACAGCTCCTAGTAGTACACTGATGGACAGAAAGTGCAGGCGCTGGTATTTCCTGGCCTTCAGAGGCATCTGTGCACGTGAAAGCTGCGCTGGTCTGCTTTAAAAGAATTCTCAATGGATTTGGTTTCCTGCTGACAATCAATCAACCTTTATTTAGACAGGTAAATCCCATTGAGCCTCGAGGACTCATTTACAAGAGAGACCTGATTTCAACGAAAAATGACAACAATGGACAACAAGACAACAATAAACAGTTATAAACAGTCATACTGCAAGGTTTTTTTTGTGGTTTTTTTTTACAAATAGGATGGCTAAAAGGAAAAGGTAACAAAACAACAACAAAAAACCAGCTAGATTCCAAGACAAATGTATAAAACTAACAACAGGAACATGTCAGCATTGGACCCTGCCAGGAGTCCAACAGATTCTTAAAGCCACTTAGAGAGGTCAAAGGTCGAGAGCTTCAAATCTTTTTGTAAGATATTCCAGGAAACAGGAGCGGAATAGGAGAAGGCCCTTTTGCCTAGTTCAGTCCTCATTGAGGGAACACTGCAGGTAATAATGTCCTGAGAGCGCACGCTGTAGCTGCACTCACAGGTTTTGTCAGCATTTAGGACAAGTTTGAGGCGAAACAAATCAGTCTGGATTATGTTGAATGCAGATTTCAAAAGCTGGAAAGCCTTAGCAACAGTTTTAGCTCGACAATAAACAACTGTGTCATCAGCATAGAAAGGTATGGATGCATTAGGGATGTTTTTACCTACATTATGTATGTAGATTGTAAAGAGGGTGGGTCCTAAGACTGAGCCTTGTGGTACACCATTGTTGACTGTTAAATAACTGGAGGAAGTACCATTATGTTGAACACATTGCCTCCGGTCTGAAAGATAGTTAGAGAACCAACCAATGGTGTCTTCTGAGAAACCAATTTCTGAGAGTTTATGACACAAGATGTTCTGATCCACAGTGTCAGAATCTTTAGACAGGTCTAAGAAAAGTGCAGCACAATAATCCTTAGCATCCAGTGCTTCAACAACGTCATTAAGAACCTTCAGTGAAGCAGTGGTTGTGCTGTGTTGTTTCCTGAAACCAGATTGATGTGGAGGTAAGATGTTAAATGAGTCCAGGTAATTTTTGATTTGAGAGTTTATCAGTTTTTCTAGAACCTTGGCTAAAATGCAGAGTTTAGAGATTGGTCGATAGTTGTTCAGTGAGGTGGGGTCACCTCCCTTCAGCAAAGGAAGAACAAAGGCTGTTTTCCAAGTGTCTGGGATGGAGTTTTGTCTTATGGAGAGATTGAAGATGTGGGTCACAGGGACTGTGATGATATGAGCAGCCAGCCTTAAGAAATAAGGTGGAAGTTCATCTGGTCCTGCAGATTTTTTAGGATCAAGATCTATTAACAGTTTATTGACCTCACTGACTGAGAATGGAGAAAAAGAGAAGCTGTGATTAACTGAGGATTGACTTGTAGGAGGGATTTGATTTGTAGAAGTTTGGTTATTAAGTGAAGTGGCTGATCTTCCATTAGTAACTGTGTCAAATAAAGAACCAGAAGCAACAAAATGTTTGTTGAGACAGTTCAGGATCTCGTGCTGATTTGACACAGGAACAGAGTTAACGAGAAGTTATGATGGGAGGTCAGATGATTGGGGGGTGCCTGAGAGAGATTTGATGGTTTTCCAGAATCTGTTAGGGTCATTTAGATTTTTGGAGGTCTGAGATAAGAAATAGTTGTGTTTTGCTGCTTTGACAGCAGTTGTGCATTTATTCCTCATCTGTTGAAAACTCAACCAATCAGTGTCTGAGTCAGATTTTCTCGCTGCGGCCCAAAGATGATCTCTCCTGTGCAGGAGGTCAGCTAGCTCTGGAGTAAACCAGGGGCTGTCTCGTCAAACACTGGTGGCCAGTCTGAAAGCTGGCACAAAGTGGGGACAAACAGTCTGTGACCAGCTGTCCGTTTGTTGTCCCGCACTATTTTAGTGCTTTTGTTGTGGCACATTCATCCAACCGTTATTTCTGCAGGTGAGTCTCATCGAGCCTCGAGGACTCATTTAAAGAGAGACCTGGTTTAAACAAAGAACACAGAGGAGGTGCAGACAACAATAGACAATCATATACAAAGAATATAAAATGAAAAGTAAAATAGAAGAAATGAAATAAAAATGAACCACACAAACCAGCTACATTATAAAGTGATGTAAAATATCACAACTTAACATTGTAAACATCCAGGTTCATGCTCAGTAATCCAGGTAAAACATCCAGCAATGTCCAGTCAGGTCACATCATTCTAAAATGTTGTGGTATTTTCAAAAGCACATTTTTGAATATTGTATTTGAAGTATTTTGTCCCCATTATTAAGATAATTACTATCATACATGAAATTTAAAACAAGACGAAAGGCCAAGCTGAGAGACAAAAATCTTCCTTTAGATATTTACCACTGAATAGGCTAAGGCGCTAAATGCAATTGAAAATATGGGAATTAAAGATAAATACATCAAAATAGAGTTTCAGATAGATAATTGTGCTGAAAATACACCAAGAAAACAATGACAGCGTACATGTGAAGATAAAGTCATTTGTTTAGATTCACAGCCATGAATGAGACATTAGATCAGTAAACATGCACTGATGCAGTTTGGAGATCAAATCTTGTTACAATGCTTTATTAAGTCTTTGTATTGATAACATTTTCATTTAGTAATTAAATGGTGAGTCTGAAGCTGGATATACACTATTTAAGAAAACCGAACATCTGAAAAAATGTACTTGGAGTAAATCCCCTTTAGACAGTTTTGTTGTTCAGTCTTGTTCTTCTCATTAGCACCACCTACTGTTCAAGAGGAAAACTGCAGCTGTGCTGCCATCAATGGCAACCAATACCCTGAAAGTGTGCCTGATCATATGAATAGCTTTATTTTTTTTGGCTGCTCCTTCTTCAAGAGTCACCACAGTGAACTAACTCACACGAAGACTTGGCGATTGTTTTTACACCGGATGTCCTTCCTGACCAACCACAGACACCGAGCTACCACAGCCTCTGTGTGGAGCAGAGAGCTGCATCTAGGGTGCCCAGGGGAGCAGATGGTGGGGGTTAAGGGCCTTGCCCAAGGGTCCAGAGTGGAGCAAATGAGGGTGGAGGCAGGTGTCTGTGTTTCAACTTTCCCACCCACATTTTGTTGGTCTAGGGAGTTGAACCAGCGACCTTCCGATCACTGGCCCACCTTCTCCAACTTCTGCACCACCACTCCCCATTGATCATATGAACAACTACCAGTCTAAAAACTAAAAGTTAACTTTTCAATTATTTTTAAATGCATTTTTCTGCCTACTGTTGAGTACCTGAAAGAGTTGAACTTGCTACTGGCACTTCTTATGCTGGACTTGGTTGCATTTCTTTGTGTATTGTATAATTGTGGGACAGCCCTGGCACTTTTGTGTACTGATGGTGATTCTGACTGAGATGTAGGAACAGACCCTACTGGTTGGAGTGCAGCAGCCAAACTGACTGATAAAACCTGGAACTAGACTTCTTTGGTAAAACTTGGAACTGGACTTCCTTGGTCGTGTCTGGACGCATCTTATTTTTGTTAACACAATGTTGCATTGTGCTCACTCTTTCACAATGACTGAACTAATCCTACAGATTTAACACACCACACTATTATTCCATTCCATAGTTTTCTTATGTTTGTGTGTATGCATGGTTGTTGATCTGTGTCTGTCAGAAAGTAATCACTGGATGCACATCAGCAACTGATTACCATTGGGTTTCATTCATTCACTAAACCTTTATTTAGACAGGTAAATCCCATTGAACCTGGTTTCAGTCCAATTCAAGATGGCCGCCACAGCCATGTGACCTAGGCTAACGCAAACATGACAATAACTCTGCGTTAGAGATTTGGAACTAAAACCTGGTCTGTTAAGAGTCACACACACCAACACACACTTTGGCCATTAAATGATTATTGTGAGATGTTAGGATACCTATAAATTGTAAGGATACCTATAGATTGTAAGGATACCTATAAATTGTAAGGATACCCATAGATTGTAAGGATACTCATAGATTGTAAGGATACCCATAGATTGTAAGGATACCCATCGATTGTAAGGATACCCATCGATTGTAAGGATACTCATAGATTGTAAGGATACTCATAGATTGTAAGGATACTCATAGATTGTAAGGATACCCATAGATTGTAAGGATACCCATCGATTGTAAGGATACCCATAGATTGTAAGGATACCCATAGATTGTAAGGATACTCATAGATTGTAAGGATACTCATAGATTGTAAGGATACTTATAAAGCAGTCTAATCACAGTATTGAAATGGATCCTCCACATTTACAGCTGTTTGTTTCCTCGTAAATGTGGATGAGTTTATACGTGCTACTTGCAGGCTGGGTTTGTTGATCCTCAGACTGATGAAGTCCTTCAGATGACAGATGAAACGTCTCAACACCAAAAGAAACTGATGACCTGATTTAACTTTGTTGGAGTTTTTACTTGGATCGTTGAGCATGAACTTTGATGTTTATGCTATAAGAATGCATTTTTTAATCTTCACATTTTTCTCTAAATCAAATGTCTTCAAATATGATTTGTAGATAAAACAAGGATTTAGGAAGCGAGGGTATGAAAGAAAGTCCCTCAGGATGTATTTTGCCTTGTGTGTGACAGGAAATGGCGGTGCGGGCCCTGAAGCAGACGGGCAGCAGGAATATCGAAGCAGCCTTAGAATACATCAGTAAAATGGGTTACCTTGACCCTCACAATGAGCTCATTGTTCGCGTCATCAAACAGACTTCACCAGGTACAAAAACCACTAGACTTCACTAAGGGGACTTTTCTTTTAGTTGTTGTCACCACATGTTTTCACTGTATCTGCAATTCCTTTTCATTACAGATTTTTGGGATATTGTTAGATGTAGTTAATTGTCCTTGTTGTTGCAGGAAAAGCTGGCGTGCCAAACACAATGGACCACCGGCCAACGTTAGAGGCTTCAGGTGAAGTAGGGGCCATGCCTCCATATCATCAAATGGGGACTCCTATGTATGATGGGGCGGCTGTTTATGGCCCAGAGGGTGAGATGACCAGACCCTATATGGGTGCTCCCCCTGTAATGAACTACATGATGTCCCCTTCTACTGCAACACAGGGTTCTGCAATGGGTAATCCAATGGGTCGACCCCCCAGCGTGGGCAGCTATCCACCGGTGATGCCCACGCAGAGCAACCCAGGCAACACAATGTATCCCCCAGTAGCTCAGCAGAAAGGTTACCCTGGCAGCATGGAGCAGCATGGGCCCATGATGAGCTATAACGTCCCAGGCCAGCCTTTGCAGATGCCACCACAGCCACCAGGGGTCCCAGTTCCAGGTCCACACTATGATTATGGCCATTCAAGGCACAACATGATGGAGCCTTCAGTGTATGGGGTAAAGCGGACCCCCTCTTTCCAAAGCAAAATGCAACCCCCACCCACAATGGCTCCTCCAGACACCTACGTCAACATGCAGGGGAAAGGGGGTATGGGTCAGAATGGGCCAGGAGTAGGGTACCCTACTAACTTGTACCTTACCCCTCACTCCCACCCTCGACAGGCTAGCCCCACCTCCCACCAGGTCCACATTATGTCCCGTTCCCCTGGTGGGGTGGCAGCCATGGGCTCTGATTTCTCAGATCTACCCCAGGGATTAATGACAACTTCCAGGGCCAGCCTCAACCTGGACCTGTATGACCACCACTGGGCAAGCCCTCCAGGTCCTGAAGGTGCCCCTCCAGCAAGGCAACCCCAGCCCCAGGTTCCATTCAGAGGCGAGGTGCGTGCGCCCAGCAGAACAAACTCTTTCAACAGTCGTTCTGCAGGTCCAAATGGTGTCCGACCTGCAATGGCTGCACCACCTGCAGCTGGAAAACAGGAGTCCTCACTGGGCCCTCCAAACACCATCACGGCTGTAACCTCCCCCCCCATCCAACAGCCTGTCAAGAGTATCAGAGTGATGAGGCCTGAGCCCAAGACAGCTGTGGGACCATGTCACCCTGGCTGGATGACTGCTCAGACACAAGATGCAACAGAAACTCTGGCCTACATGCCAGAGGAGACGTACCCGCTAGAGCCTGCACAGGAGCCCCGCTGCCCTCCACCACCTTACCCAAAAAATCTGCTCGTGCCCGGAGCAAGTGGAGAACCAGGGGTCCTGGAGGGGGCCTCAGCTCTCTGTGGTGCTCCAGACCTCAGCAACCCTGCTGCCAGAAATGCACACGGTGGCAGCAGAGGGAGTGGAAAGACGGAGAACAACCAGCAGGTGAAAGAGAAGACCAAGATGGGCAAAGGAGAGAAAGTTGTGAAGGACAAAAAACAGATCCAGACGTCTCCTGTGCCTGTGAGGAAAAATGGACGAGATGAAGAAAAGAGAGAGTCCCGCATCAAATCCTACTCACCTTTCGCCTTCAAATTTTACATGGAGCAGCACATCGAGAATGTGATGAAGACCTACCAGCAGAAACTCAACCGCAGGATTCAGCTGGAGCAGGAGATGTCCAAAGTAAGAATGTGTTAGAAATTATTTAAAAAGTAGGTCAGAACAGATGATTTTTTAACCAAATTATTATTTTGAGGACATATTTTAAGTTAGTAGTAAAAAATCAGGACTTTGAGTTTTAAATTATAGTAGAAAGCACATCTAATCCATCCATCCATCCATCCATTATCTTTACCCGCTTCTTCCTTTTCGGGTCACGAGGGTCCCTGGTGTCCATGTCCAGCAGTCACTGTGCGGAGGTCAAGTCAAGTTAACTTTATTTATAGAGCACATTTAAAACAGAACCTGTTATCAAAGTGCTTAACAACAACAACAACAACAATCAATCAATGAGAGTAAAATTAAAGAGAAAAAATATATATAAATACAATACACTAATAATAATAACTGAAGAATTAATAAAAAGCATTTAAAACACAGTGTCACAGATTAAAAAAAACACTAGATCAATTTACACTGTATGAAATGCCTGTGAGAACAGATGTGTTTTAAGCAGAGATTTGAAGTGAGGAAGGAAGGTGGCCTGCCTGATGTTGGGGGGCAGGTTGTTCCAGAGTTTGGGGCCCATGACTGAAAAAGCTTGATCTCCTCTGAGGTCTCCAGTCCATCACAGGGACACCTGGACAGGTCTCCAGTCCATCACAGGGACACCTGGACAGGTCTCCAGTCCATCACAAGGACACATAGAGACGAACAACCATTCACTCTCTTGACAGTTTAGAGTTACCTATCAGTCTAACATGCATGTTTTTGGTCTGTGGGAGGAAACCGAAGTACCCGGAGAAAACCCACATAGCATGGAGAGAACATGCAGACTCCACCCAGAAAGGCTCCCAGCCAGGATTCCATCCAGTAACCTTGCTGAGAGTCAACAGGTCTACCAACTGTGCCACTGTGCCGTCCGCACAGCTAATTTTTGTTGTCAAATTTGTTAATTGAAAAGCATGTTAAGATGAAGGAACAAACCCAGTCAGACACAAAGGGTCAAGTTAATTTCACCAACAGTTTCAAGCTGTTTCTCTTCTTTCTTTTCGTGCCCAGGCTGGCCTGTCCCAAGCAGAGCAGGAACAAATGAGGAAGATGCTGAACCAAAAAGAGTCCAACTACAACAGGCTGCGCCGTGCCAAAATGGACAAGTCCATGTTTGTCAAAATCAAGACCCTAGGCATCGGTGCTTTTGGTGAAGTGTGTCTCACACGTAAAGTAGACACCGGTGCACTTTATGCCATGAAAACACTGCGCAAGAAAGATGTCCTCAACCGTAATCAGGTGATCCATTTTATTTACTTTTTTTTTACCGGTTACATTGAGCCTTTCATTTTTGTGGTGTTTGTAATTAAGGATCAAACTTGTTTTTTTCTTTTTGGATGAGTGTTTTTAATTAAACAATCAGTAAATTATAAAGGAGCATTTCCGTTGCAGGTAGCCCATGTGAAAGCAGAGCGAGACATCCTGGCCGAAGCAGACAACGAGTGGGTGGTGCGTCTTTACTATTCTTTCCAGGACCGAGACAGCCTCTACTTCGTCATGGATTACATCCCTGGGGGAGATATGATGAGTCTCCTCATCCGAATGGGGGTCTTCCCTGAGACTTTGGCTCGCTTTTATGTGGCTGAGCTAACACTGGCCATTGAGAGCGTCCACAAGATGGGTTTCATCCACCGCGACATCAAGCCAGACAACATCCTCATTGACCTGGACGGGCACATTAAGCTGACTGATTTTGGTCTGTGTACAGGCTTCCGCTGGACACACAATTCCAAGTATTACCAAAAAGGTGAGGCAGGCAGGATGCTTTTTGTCCACTCTTTATCAGGATTCAGAGGTTTACAGATCTCTAAAGTGAGGGCCACAAATATTCTCAGTAACTTGTAAAAGATCCATCAATCCATTATCTTTACCCTCCTCTTCCTTATTTTTGGGTTGTGGAGGTCACTGGTGCCCATGTCCAGCTATCACTGTGAGGGCGGGGTACACCTGGACAGGTCTCCAGTCCATCACAGGGACACATAGAGACAAACGACCATTCACTCTCTCACTCACACGTAGGGACAATTTAGAGTTACCAATCAGTCTAACATGCATGTTTTTGGTCTGTGGGAGAAAACCCACGCATGCACGGAGAGAACATGCAAACTCCACCCAGAAAGGCCTCTGTCCGGGATTTGAACCAGGGTGGTGTGCTCACTGAGAGATAGCAGCTGTACCAACTGTGCCACCGTGCTGCCCTTGTAAAAGATCGTTTTTATTATTATAATTTGTGATAAAGAATTAAATGATGCACATTGCTTATTTTTTATCTAATCTTAAAGCTCATCTTTTGAATACAGTAGTCCCTTGTTTGTCACGGGGGATCCGTACCCTGAAGCCCTGAAATAAGTGAAAAACCACCAAGTAGGAATAGTAGTTCAAGTAGTAAGTAGTAATTTATTTTAGTATTTATTTATATATATTGAATATTATATTGAATCGCCACCTTATCGTGGTGGAGGTGTTTGTGCGCCTGAATGATCCTAGGAGCAATGCTGTCGGGGACAATTATAATTGTCCCTGGTAGGGTCTCCCAAGGCAGATTGGTCCTAGGTGACAGGCCAGACAAAGTGTGATTCCCAAGATATTTATGGACCTGACACAGCAAGGAACTTGGTGTCCCTTGCCCGGACATGGGTTACCAGGGCCCCACCTTGGAGCCAGGCCTGGGGGAGGGGCTCGTCGGCGAACGCCTGGTGACCGGGTCTCTACCCATGGGGCCTGGTTGGGCTCAGCCCAAAGTAGCAGCATAGGTTTGCCTTCCTGTGGACCCAGCACCTGCAGGAAAGGCCATAAAAGTCAGTTGCGTGATGCCATGAGCAGTGGCCAAAGGCGGGGATCTTGGCACTCTGACCCTGGCTTACCAAATCTGGCTCTTGGGACATGGAACGTGACCTCTCTGGTGGGGAAGGAGCCTGAGCTTGTGCGTGAGGTTGAGAGGTACCGACTAGATATAGTTGGGCTCACCTCAATGCACAGCATGGGCTCTGGAACCGATCTCCTTGAGAGGGGCTGGACCTTATTCCACTCTAGAGTTGCCCATGGTGAGAGGCGTCGAGCTGGTGTGGGTCTACTTGTAGCCCCCCAACTTGGTGCCTGTGTGTTGAAGTTTTCCCCGGTAGATGAGAGGGTGGCTTTCCTTCGCCTTCGGGTGGGTGGACGGGCTTTGATTGTCTGTGCCTATGCACCGAATGGCAGTTCAGAGTATCCAGCCTTCTTGGAGTCCTTGGCAGGGGTGCTGGAAGGTGCGCCAGCTGGGGACTCCTTTATTCTGCTGGGGGACTTCAGTGCCCACGTGGGTAATGATAGTGTGACCTGGAGGGGCGTGATTGGGAGGAACGACCTCTCAGATCTGAACCCGAGCGGTGTTCTGTTGTTGGACTTCTGTGCTAGTCATAGTTTGTCCATCACAAACACCGTGTTTGAACATAAAGGTGTTCATAAGTGCACTTGGCACCAAGTGGACCTAGGTCGTAGATCAATGATAGACTTCATAGCCGTGTCATCTGATTTGCGGCCGTTTCTTTTGGACACTCGGGTGAAGAGAGGAGCTGAGCTGTCAACTGATCACCACCTGGTAGTGAGTTTGATCAGATGGCAGGAGAAGATGCCAGACAGACCCGGTAGACCCAAATGTGTAGTGAGGTTTGCTGGGAACGCCTGGCAGAAGAACCCGTCAGAGAGATCTTCAACTCGCACCTCCGGGAGAGCTTTCACCGCATCCCAACTGAGGTGGGGGACATTGAGTCTGAGTGGGCCATGTTCAGCACCTCACTTGTTTAAGGTAGCTGCCTTGAGCTGTGGCTGCAAGGTTGTCGATGCTTCTCATGGTGGCCATCCACGAACTCGGTAGTGGACACCCCGGGTTAGGGAGGCTTTCAAGCTGAAAGGAGGAGTTCTATCGGGCCTTGTTGGCCAGTGGGACTCTGGAGGCAGCTGAGGAGTACCGGAGAGCCAAGCGGTCCACAGCCTTGGTTGTTGCTGAGGCAAAAGCTCGAATGTGGGAGGAGTTCGGTGAGACCTTGGATAACGACTCTTGGTCGGCTCAGAGGAGATTCTGGCAAACCATCAAGACGGCTGAGGAGGGGAAAGCAGCACTTTACTAACACTGTGTTCAGTGAAGGTGGGCTGCTGTTGACCTCAACCAGTGATGTCGTCGGGAGGTGGAAGGAGTATTACTTGGACCTTCTTAATCCCACCAGCACATCTTCCATGGAGAAAGCTGAGTCAGGGGACTTTGAAGGTGATCCATCCATAACTGTGGCTGAAGTCGCTGAGGTAGTTAAGGGTACATTCACACCAGCTCTGTTCTCCCGAACTCTAGCCCATTTGCCTAGGAAATCCGGTTCGTTTGGGGAGGTGTGAACGCATCATCGAACTCTGTCACGGAACAAAAAGGCAACCTCTGGCCCGCCTAAAAACCTAGGTCTCGGTCCGGTAGAAGAAAACTGTAGCGCGGTTCAAGTACAGTGTGAATGCAAGCAGACCGGGCACCGCTTCGCAAGCAGGAAGTGGACTACAGCACAGGGCAAACAAACACGCATTTCTCTTACCTCATATGGAGCCGTCAGTTTGCTTTGTGTGAAAAACAAGATTCTCCATGGTCTTCTGCCTCATCTTCCACTCATGCTGAGTCCATTGTTGAAAAATGACTAAATAGAACTCCTAAAACAGCTAAAGTTTGATGCCACTCGTGTTTTTTATTATATTTCCAGAAGAAGAAGAAGTGTCTTCTTCAGAGGTTTTTGTGTTCTTTCAGTAGTTCTTGATGCAGTGCCACCACAGGTAAATGGGGGAACAGGTTGGTTTGAACAGGTTGGCTCGACTGCACAGTGCAGTGTGAATGCAAACCGCACCAGCTCAAATGTAAACAAAATGTTATGAATATTGGTCCCCAACCGAACCAAGTCCACTGGACTATCAGGTATGAAAACAACCTAAAAAGCTCAGAGACGGCAGGACTCCAGGAGTGGATGAGATTCACCCTGATTTCCTTAAGGCTCTGGATGTTGTGGTGCTGTCATGGTTGACACGCCTTTTCAACGTTGCGTGGACCTTCTGGACAGTGCCACTGGATTAGCAGACTTGGGTGGTGGTTCCCCTCTTCAAAAAGCAGGACCGGAGAGTGTGCTCCAATTATAGGGGCATCACTCTCTTCAACCTCCCTGGTAAGGTCTATTCAGGGGTACTAGAGAAGCGAGTCCGATCGTTGGTCGAACCTCAGATCCAGGAGGAACAATGTGGGTTCCATCCTGGCCGTGGAACACTGGATCAGCTCTTGACCCTCACTAGGATCCTCGAGGGGTCACGGGAGTTTTCCCATCCTGTCTACATGTGTTTTGTGGATTTGGAGAATTCGACCGTGTTTCTCAGGGTAAACTGGGGGGGGTGTTCCTTGCGTATGGGATTGGGGGCCCATTGCTACGGGCTGTTCAGTCCCTATACAAGCGGTGTGAGAGCTTGGTTTGCATTGCCGGCAGTAAGTTGGACTCCTTCAGAGTGGGAGTTGGACTCCGACAGGGCTGTTCGTTGACACTGATTCTGTTCATAACTTTTATGAACAGAATTTCTCGGTGCAGCCAGTGGGCAGAGAGTTTTTGGTTCGATGGCCTCAGGATTCCATTTTTGCTCTTTGCAGATGATGTAGTCCTGTTCGCATCATCGTGCCATGATCTTCAGCTCTCACTGGAGTGGTTCGCAGCCGAGTGTGAAGCAGCTGGGATGAGAATCAACACCTCCAAGTATGAGGCCATGGTCCTCAACCGGAAAAGGGTGGATTGCTCTCTTTAGATTGAGGGTGAGTTACTGCCTCAAGTGGAGGACTTCAAGTATCTCAGGGTTTTGTTCACTAGTGAGGGAAGAATGGAGCGTGAGATTGACAAACGGATTGGTGTAACGTCTGCAGTATTGCGGACTCTGTACCGGTCCATTGTGGTGAAGAGAGAACTGAGCTGTAAGGCAAAGCTCTCCGTTTAGTCGGTCTATGTTCCTACCCTCACCTATGGTCATGAGCTCTGGGTAGTGACCGAAAGAGCGATCGCGGATACAAGCGGTTGAAAGGAGTTCTCTCCGCAGGGTAGCTGAACTCTCCCTTAGAGATAGGGTGAGAAGTTCAGTTATTCGGGAGTGATTCGTAGTAGAACTGCTACTCCTCCACATCGAGAGGAGCCAGTTGAGGTGGTTCTGGCATCTGGTAAGGATGCCCCCTGGGCGCCTCCCTAGAGAGGTGCTTCGGGCATGTCCAACTGGGAGGAGATCCGGGGGAACACCCAGGACACGCTGGAGAGACTGTGTCTCTCGTTTCGCCTGGGAATGCCTTGGAATCCTCCCAGAAGAGCTGGAAAAGGTGGCTGTGGAAAGAGATGTCTGGGCCTCACTGCTCAAGCTGCTGCCCCCGTGACCCGACTTCGGAATAAGTGGAAGATAATGGATGGATGGATAACTAACAACTAATGAAAACCCCAAATTCAGTATCTCAGAAAATTTGAATATTACTTAAGACCAATAAAAAAATATTTTTAGAAATGTTGGCCACATGAAAAGTATGAAAATGAAAAGTCAGAACATGAAAAGTATGAACATGTACAGCACTCATTACTTAGTTGGGGCTCCTTTGGCCTGGATTACTGCAGCAATGCGGCATGGCATGGAGTCGATCAGTCTGTGGCACTGCTCTGGTGCTATGAGAGCCCAGGTTGCTCTGATAGTGGCTTTCAGCTCTTCTGAATTGTTGGGTCTGGTGTATCA